TAAGGAGAGACAGGTCCTTGGAGAGAGACATCATACTTGGTAAGGTGGAGGGATAGCGCAGGAGGGGAAGACCCTCTATGAGGTGGATTAATTCAGTGACTGGGGTAATCAGGATGGGTGTGTCAGAGGCCATGTGATTGGCACAGGATAGAGCAGGGTTTAGGGCTGTTGTACATAGGGTCACTATGAGTTGCAAATGACTCAATGGCACATAACAACAACAACAACAAACCAAGCTAAAATAAGAGTGAGTCTAATCGCATTGTTTCTAATCCCATCATTTAGTAGCACAGTGAATGGCTTCTCCAAGCTCCAAATTCCGTCCTTTCACTACTACCCCTCAGTTGTATTTGCTAAATAAAGTTATAGATGTTGTATACTGGGCAAATTGTTGCTATGTACCATCAAGTTGGAACCAAAGCATGGGTATGTTAATTAACCTTAGTTAGTAAGGTACATTTCTGAACCCCTTCTCTAATACAGTCTTCTTAAACTAAGTAATGCTTCAATGTAGGGATCACTGGGGGAAGAGAGCCTACTAAAAATGTTGAGGTAAGCTTCAAGAAAGATAAGTCATGTGATGAATTTTCAGGGGACACAGTTCTGGCCCCTCACACCTGCCCTTCTTGAGGTAACAGACACAACTTTAGAAGAATCTTATTTTAACTGTGCATTGATAAGTGACTAAATTAATCATTGTCACGGTTGTTCAGGAAGAGTCAACCCTCATGATAGATAGGTGGCATATACACAACCAAAGAAGTGCTGCTAAGAGGACTATAACCCCTGGAAACTAATAATCCCATTTCGTTGTCTAACTTCAATAGAAATGTTGCAGAATACAAACAAAAATAATATATAGGCATAGAAAATATTTGACTGGAGACTTAAGAGTTTCTTACCGGGGGCAGACGCAATATAAATTGGCTTTCCAGTTCGTGAGGAGGTTCATTCTGGCTTTTACTCATCTCTTGTTTTTGAGTTCATGAAAAAGACGCAAACAAACCAAAAAACAAAACAGAAGCATCTTTAAGTCACTAAAAAGTTCTTTTGCTCCCTCTGCTGACTACTGCTGGTCAAAGATCCGGTGTGGAAAAACAATGTTTAAGAACTTTATGAACTTTGTAGATAAACCAGTATAAAAAAATTAAAATATTTAAAGAAAATAAAAACAAATGACACCTGCTGCCAACTCGTAGAGACCATAAAAGAGAAAGCAGAACTACCTCACAGGGTTTCTAGGTTTTAAGTCTTTGTAGAAGTCAAACTGCCACATGCTTCATAGTCAGATAAATTTTTCTTCCATTTGTTCATAGTTATATAAATAACCACATACAATTATATAATCTCCTCCCCCTCCCAAAAAAAATCCCACTGCTATCTAGTTGGTTAGGTTTATAGTGACCTTCCATTTACAGTTTTAATGTAAATCTTAAAAAAGATTACAGTTTCTTAGGCTGTAAATCTTATCTGGAAGAAGAGACCTAGCTACGAACCTTTCTTTCAGTTCGCTGTCTACTCCACACCAGGGCTTTGTGTAAATTTATATAAGCACATAAAAACCTAAATGCAATAAAAAGCTAAGAAATGGTTCAGGTACAGATAGATTCAATCTTAGAGAGCTAATGAAGAGGGGCGCCAAAAATGTTTTCAATAAAATTATTTCTTTACCAAAATATATTAAAAAGAAGATAAATACTATATATATAAAGAGTGGACAGCCGTAGTATTTTTCATCTCTATTGTTTGGCTATAAAATGAAGGGGCATGAGTGGCGGATTGTGAGGGGGGAGAGGAGGAGGGGAAAGCTTATCCCTTTTAAAATAAAACACATGAAAAACAAAAACTGCGGGAAAAGAAATAAAAATTCTGGGGTTAAGCACATTGCCTTAAGGAACAAAAATCAAATATTTAAAACTGGAAGCAGGAATACGTATTTACAATATATAAAAAAGTTTTCTATTTTAGCAATTATTTTATCAGACAAATAATAGTTTTCGATTTATCAGCAGAACCAAAACTCGAGAATTCTGTTAATTCTAAAGGTATTTTGGAAACTCCTCTTTTAGGAAAGAAAGAAAGAATTTAAGACATGGCTCTTTTAGAGTATCTGCTTGAAACAGGTTTTTCGTTTTCACCCCTGCCTCTTCACTTAACCAAAAAAAGGACCTTTGTGGCATAGTTCTTAATGTATTGGGCTTTTCATCAAAATGTTCTAAGTTTTAACCAACCATTTGTTCCACGGGTGAAAGATCAGCAGTCTCCTCTCATAAAAATTTTACAATCTTGCAAACCTGATGGCCGGTAACTATGAGTTGGAAAGGACTTCAAGGCAATAAGTGGATTTATCCAAAGAACTGATTTTATCACACTAAACTTTGAAGTAATGACATCCACATCCCCCCCAAGCATTCTTTGATCCTAGAATAAATTAATAGGATCGTCCTCTTCATCCACCCCCAGCACCATTGCGCTTAACAGAATACCACACAGGTCTATTTTCTTAAATTCACAGTTGCCTGGCTGCAAGCTGGAGCAACCAGCCACTCCATCCTTTTCCTGGGGCACAAAAATTTCCAGGGCAAAGTCTAACTCCTGCACGTTTCCCTTGCAAACCTTATAATGGGGCTCAAGATCCCTGGCCTCGGAGGTCTGATTCTGGAGCAGGCTTAGAGAGCAAAGCGCAGTAGCGCTATGAGGTGCCCAGAGCTGCCCAGGTCTGGGATAGGGGAGGGCGGCACGAGGGTATCTTCTGAGGGGCTCCCTAGACTCATGAGACTTACCCACTTTTGTCTTAACTCTAGCCAGTCTTGGAGAGGGTGGGCCGAATAGAGCCTGCCTGTGTGCCTCCTGCGTGTGAAGAGGAGTGGGTTCCCAGGGAGACTGAGGAGGTCTAGGGCAAGCGAAATTGGCGCTTGGCGAGCACGTGCGCCCACCTCAAGGCGCACAGACAGGTGGGAAGCGCAGGGCTCAGCCAGCCCCCCTCCGCCTCGCCACGCCCCCGTGGCCATCCCCTGCCTCCCCCAGAGCGCCGCAACAGTCTCAAGGTTCCTATGGCCTGGAGGACCGAGACAGAGGACACTGGAGCCTGAGCTCCTTGGCAGCTGGACGCCGAGGGGCGGAACCTCAGGGACCTCGTGCAGCCCCACCAGTTTAGCACCAAGTACCCTAGGTGGGTAGTCACAGTCAGGGCTACCCTTGACTCCTCACAGTGGGGGGAAGACCTCACAAACCCCAACGAGAAAAAAAAAAAAATCTCATTGCCATCGAGTCACAACCAATTCTTAGCTGCCTCTCCAAACAAGTTTCCTCAGGCTGTAAATGGCCCTGGAGGAGGCTGTTCGCTGAGGCTGCTGGGGCATTCGAACCAACCGCCAAAGAAGCGCCACCTTTGGGTTAGCAACACCCTCCCCCCACCATGGTCTACCAGATATCCCCTGCTGCTAAAAAGGAGTTGCCCCTCCGTGGCATCTACTGGGATTGTTTCTTGTTTGGTTGGTTTTTAGGCCCCCCCTTACTGAGGTGACCCTGCTTGGGGATAAACAGCCATAAAATAACTACAATCCACTCATGACACAGCATCCTCAACTGTGTACTGGAGAGAGACATAATGTACGTAGGCTAGTATTATTAGAGGTAGCAGCAGTTCGAACACAGTTTTAGCATCTCTCCCAAAGAGAAAATAATAATCGAGAAGATTTTCCAAGAAAAAGTTTTCATCTATTACTGAAGCGTTTTATAATTAGAATGAATGCCTTGATACACTGAATTGCCTATGATAAAATCTCATTAAGATTGAGCTTTTAAAATTTCTATTTCCCTTCTCCTTCAAAAATCTTTGTCTTATCAGTTTAGTAATATTTACACTAATATTAATGAACCAAGGATAAATTTTCTTTTTAAAAATATAACATGAATGAAAAAATATTGGAAGCCATTGTTTACCTTTCTCCTCTGGTTTGTTTTCCATAATGGTTGCGGCGGCAGTTTGGGCGCCGCCATTGGCATCGGTTGGGGCGCCATCATACACAGGAACCTGTGTGCCAGAATCCACAGGAGCCTGGCCATCCGAAATCTGGGTGCCAGGCTCCACAGGAATCAGGGTACTATGGCTACTGGCCATGGCGGTGCCCTGGTCACTGGTAGTTTTGGTGTCATAATTGCAGGCAGTTTCGGCTTCACGGACAGCAGAAAATTGGACCTCTTGGTTGCTTGGTAGTTCTGATGTCGAAGTGATTGGAATGGAATCGTTTTCTAGAGGTTTTGGAGCCGCTCCTTCAGGGAACTCCATGATCCACCTGCTAGCGTGGTGAAACAGCTTCTGACTCAGTCACCTGACCGGTTGATTCCAGAACTTTCCTAAAATGATGTCAGATATATTGCCCTTAAAGACATAGCGATGATATTAGAGGTGTTCTACATGCTAGAGCTTGTAATAAATATAAACTTAACACTTACTAGTAAAGAATATTTTTGGAAAAAAAAAAAAAAAGAATATTTTTGGAAGACAAAATCTCATTTTATCTGGCTAAATCTGCCCCCACCCAATTCAATTAAGCTATATCACCAGACCTCTAGGTGTCTCTAGGGAGTTGCGCTGCTTGACACAAAGGCAGCGTCTCTCTAAGTTGTTCCCATCCACTAGCATTATGTGAGGGGAAAGTTGGGCAATGTCTTCCCTACAATTTACAACCTCAGAAACCCAATAGAAGGTCATCTGTGAGTCAGTTCTGACTCTCCGATGATGAGAGTTAGTGTTACCACCTCTTCAGACCTAGACCAGATAGTTTCCAATTTCTTCTCGAATTCATCCACTGATCATTACTTTAGCTGTATGTCACCACGAGGCCACTTTGAGAGCCATAGTACAAAAATAATCTCATCTTGCATTTATTGTAGATTATTTGTGAGAGTGCTTATAATTTAAAAAATTATATTTATGAGAAATCAAAGGAAAATTATATTTCCAGTCACTGACATAGCTGAGTATTTGATGCATTTTTATTCATGTGGACAATGTGAATTATACAGTTAATTTTTCTCTTTGCCATGGTTACTAGGAAGCTCAGAATCATATTTGTAGTCCACTTCTGACATCTGTGAATCTTCAGTTTAAGTAACCATGCTTTTCCCCAGTTACCTTATTATCTTAATCATGTGCAGTAAATAACTAAAAGCTGCTTTAAATCTTAGCTTTCAAAAAATCAGATTTAAATATAACATAAAGAAAAATAGTGCTCTGACAGAAATGAGAAGATAAAGAAAGTGGGAAAGGAGTAGTGTAAGTATTCATCACCTATAAATTCAATTGTCTTTAAAGGTGATGAATGTACCAAAAAATCCATCATCCAACAAATATTGACAATTTAATGTGCTGTATTTGATTGAAAAAATTATTAAATGCTTAAAATATAGTAAGTGGGATTACCCTTAAAATATTTACAATCTATTCTTCTGACTACTCTGAAAAGAACCTTAATAGAAACTCCATGGTAGAGTGGAGAAAAATGTGGAATAAATTTAAAATTATAAAATATACCAAGCATACTGATCTGACAGAAACTGGTGAAACCCTAAGACAATGGCCTTTAGTTACTTTTAAAGCCTAAGAACTAAAATAACACGTGTGACTTAACTTTCAAATAAATAATAAAACTCTAACTCACTGCCAGTGAGTCAGATCTGGTAACTCTCCCCTGGGTTTCTGAGACCCTTGACCTTTTAGTTAGCAACCAAACATGCTAGGGATGGTACCACACAGTTTCTTAGCCAAATAATAGACAGGGCTGTATATAAGATGATTCGTAATACTAGAGAAGAACACACTTCTTAGAACAACCAGTCTTACAAGATCAAAAGGACAGTGTTTGCTCAAGAACAAAACACTTAAGGCATGAAATTTTAGAGTTATGAGTAGAAATGGGAAATACAGGAAGGAAGTGAGAAGAAAGTTGTTACAAAATGAGTG